CTCCTTCTGTACTTAAATTGGTTTGCTCATGTAGAGGGGATAATGCCAAACAGGAAAACCCATAGAATTAAATGTGTGGTACACTGTAAGAACACAGACTGTGATGCACATCTGGATGATGCAAAGTTAAATACTTTAGTATATGAGAATTGACATGTTTAGGATACAATCTACAGGACTGTGGAAATCTAATGATGTAAAAAGAAAGAGGAAAAATGACGATGTAAGCTATGTATATATAACTTGTTAATTTTCACTAATGACCCATAGATCCCTTGCAAATGACAAATCAATTAGTGTATGAATAAATACATGTGTTAAGAGAATATGACAAGGACATGATCACACAAGTGTACATCACTATAGACGGCCTTTAGTTAATTAAAGTATTGTGCACAGCAGAGTTTAACAGCTTTTTGAGATTACTGCTAATCTCACTTCAAAACCTGTGGCCAGTGTCTGTTTTTATTTCAGTTGTCAAAAAATTTGAAAAAGAGCTGCCACGATATAAAAGGCAAGATTTTCTGTATAATGGAAAGGCACACTGAATAATAATTTCAACTAAGGAAGGAAATTTTGCCAGTAGAAACACTAACAGCTTTAGAGACTAGTTTTCAAAGTAACCTTGTAACACAGTACAAGTGACACAGAGTTCATAATTATAATCCCATTTGTGGTGCTGAGATGATTCAAGTGTCTAGCTCCTGAAACTTGTTAAAAAATCAATTTTTACTTGTTTCTGGATTTGGTTTCAAAATAGGCAAAATTGGGGTTTTTATAACAATAGTTGGAAAGTGGTAATATATAAGGCAGAGGTGAAAAGGTACGTATCTAGGTACATAATGAGCTAGACAAACAATCTGAATATGCAGGCCACCAAGTATAACAGGATGCAAATTTACCATTTTAACCCTATTGGTTACATACAGGTCCCAATGTATAAATAGGACAGAAATCTACCATGTGTCCCCAGAGTATCCATAAAGGTCACTACATATAAAGAGGATGAAAATCTACTATCATTACTCCCCATTAGTCATATGCAGACTTGAGGAGCAATAAAATATTTTATTCTTTGCATTAAGTGCCTCAAATTCTGACACTATTTGATATTACTCACCCAGGTAAAATCTATTATATTTTATAATCGATTATATTTTATAATAGATATGGGGATTCCTTTGTGTTAATTAGGTTTTTCTTTATGAATGTGATTCACTTAAAAAATATTCAACACTATGGAGTTACAAAAGTAAACAGAGGGGAAAAGTATATAAGAGACAATGATTCTTTTTTTTTTTTTTCTTATCCTTCTTCCTTTTTTTCTGGTTTCTCTTCCTTCCTTCCTCTTTCTCCTTTCACCCTTTTTTTTTTTTTTTTTTTTTTTTGCCATAATCATAATCATCACCATAATGGCAAACATTGTTGAGTCCATGTGGACTAGTAATTTATATGAACTAATACATTAGAGAGTTTATGAGATGGCTATACCAGACCCATACTACGGAGTCAGGAAATTGACCACGCTCCCTTAGCTGGGGTTCTATAGAGCTGGGATTCAAGTCCAGACAGGATGAATCCAGGGTTTCTTTTCTCAATCACAAAGTCTTTTAATTCAGCCAGGCTTTAGGAAAGAAAGCTATCTCTTTAAGGAAGAAAGAATGTCAGAACAGTAGTTCCTCCTTTATGGCAACTTAAGCATTAATTAAATTTTGGCACACAAATTATCAGATATACGTCTACTCAACAAAAAGCTATCAATTGTGTGTACATCTCTCCTGGTTCAATTTAAACTCATGGTCACAAAGTGAATATGACAATTGATTACTCAGAAACACTCCTATGTCTTTTTTCTTTCTATAAAAGAATACATAAAGATCTTCCAAACTTAAGTGAATTTGGTACAATAATAGGAAGAGGGACTGAGTCCTCAAGAATTTTGTTGAATACTGAGTTCAATAAATAAGTAAATAAATGTATATATTTAAATCTGTGCAATTATAATAACAGTAACTGAACTATGATTGCTGCTTTTGGAAATAGTCTACAATTGTTTTGTTGGAGCTAAAAAGGAAATTTTTTTCAATAGTTTTCTGAATGCTCATTATTTGTTAGGCATTATAATTGAATGACTTTGTAAGAAATGTGCGTTCTATGGTCTGAATGCTTGTGTTTTCCTCCAAGTTCATATGTTGACACCTAATCCCCAACATGAAAATATGAGGAAAGAGGTGCAGCCCTCAGGAAAGGGATTAGTTCCCTTGTAAAAGGGGCCTCAGGGAACCCCGCCTGCCACATGAAGAAGACCCAACAGCAGACACCGAAATAAGACAGGAAGCAGGGCCCTCAACAGAAACCAGGTCTGCCAGCACCTTGATCTCAGACTTCCCAACATTCCTAACTTTGAGAAATAAATTTCTGTTGTTTATAAGACACAGTTTATGGCATTTGTCATTGCAGCCAGAATGGACTAATATATTTCATAATTAAGTATTTTGAATGTACATGGATATTTCTAAATCACTGAAAATCACTTCAATAAATAAGCATTTAGCAGCACCATCAATTTACTCAGCAAATTATTTTCTTGACTGATTCTGCTCTGTTCTGAACAACTGAAATTGAAATCTGACACTAAATCAATGGGGCTTTATTGTGTTTATTAAAATTCTACTCAGCTTTCTCTTCTGTATTCTATATAATTTTAAATCATTTAAGCTTTCTTCATTGAAGGAAAAGGGTACTCTTTCCTAAATGCTGCATTTTATTACATTATTTCCTCTGGATCTGATTCAATTTTTTTTTCTCTCTATTAAAATAGGATAGCCCAGAACTGGGAATAAAGACCTCACAGATGCTGAAGAGGTTGCAGTAATGTCAACAGCAACACTTGCAGCAGCATCCACCACTCAATACTAAACCCTATAGAGTGACATTGTTAGAAACGTATCTTAGTCCATTTTCCATTACTACAATAAAATATCTAAGAATGGGAAACTCATAAAGAAAAGAGGCTTGTTTAGTTTTCAGTTTTAGAGGCTGAAAGTCCAAATAGCATTATACTGGCGGCTCTGACAAAAGCCTCGTGACAGATTATATCACAGTGGGAGTGTGTAAGAGAGGCAGAAATCACATGGGGAGGCAGGATGCGTCTTCTTCCTTAATTTTTTTCATTTTTCCTTTTTCCTTTTGCAGTGCTCTGGGTTGAAACCAGACCTTGTGTATGCCTGGCACGTAATGTACCACTGAGCTATACCCCCAGCCCAGGCTTATTCTATGATTTGCTCTCAAGAGAACTACCACAGAGTCCCTTGAGAACCACCTTAATTCCTCCTGAGGGTGGGGTCCCCAGTGACCTATCAATTTCCACTAGGCCTCACCTTTTCCAGGTCCCCCTTCCTTTTAACATATCCACACTGGGGTCCAAGCTTCCAACCACGATCCCTGAGGGACACACTCAAACCACATCCAGACCACAGCAGTGCCTCACACACCTTCTCATGCAGTCCTCACACAGCTTTAGATGACGTCCTCACACCTAGACCCATTACTTGTGTGGACCTCTCTTGCAGACGACATCTAGCATGGCTGAATTTTCTTCAAAATTGTTTAAGTTTTATCATCTAATTCTCATTCAACCCCTGACAAGAGGAACAAGGGAACCAAAAATGGAGAAGGTGCCAATAGAGCACATCAAGGTGAGCAAGTCTGAAGGGGTAGCCTGAACATACAAGGGCACATGAGAAGGAAGAAAGCTCTCCTGCTTTTTTTTTTTTTTTTAAAAAAACAGGGATTTAAACCCAAGGGCACTTAACCACTGAGCCACTTCCCTGGCCCCCACCCCACTTTAAAAAAAAAAAAATTATTTAGAAACAGGGTCTTGCTGAGTTTCTTAAGGCCTCACTAAGATGCTGAGGCTGGCTTTTAACTCTTAATCTTCCTGCCTCAGCCTCCCAAGCTGTTGGGATTATAGGCATGCGCCACCACGTTTGGCAACGTTTCCTCCCTTATTAGTAAGGTAGAAAATTAGGAAGTCAGAAAGGACCACCAGGTAGGAGACAAGGGCTCCAGAGCAGGACTGCTTCAGAAGAAAAGTAGCAAGTCCAGGTGAGGCTGAATATCTACATGGGAAGGAATATTTCAATACTGGGAACGAAAGTACCCTCTAATCCCAGTGTTTCCTGTGATTGGCAACTAATGAGAAAGGGAAGAACAAGACAAATTATAAAATAGCAGCTAACATTACTATATGTTCAACATTATGTTGACATTTAAACTTTTTGAAATATCCCAGTGAAAGAGGTAGGGCTTTGCTATCCCCACTTTACAGATGATAACCAAGGCCTAGAGGGCGACATTAATGAATAGGGCTAGTTACATCACTTAAAAACAATTCAGATTTACTTATCATTTCATCCAAATAACAGAGAATTAAAGAACCTCATTCTACTGCTGATGTGGCAATAATGGCTACTCTGATTCACTTACACCACAAGGGCTCAGTCAGGTAGCAAGTCAGGTTGGGTAAATGTGGCCCCCCAAACACACACCATTCTCAATGGCAGAGTTGACATCTCCTCACTCTGGATCTCTCACCAGCACTCTTAATAAGCTCCCCAAACTTTCCTGGGTTGTTTCCTGCTGATTCTCTGATGAAGACGTTAGTGAGTCCACAGATGGTGCCAGGAGAAATTATATTTATATACACAGTAACCAAATCCAGCAAGGTAAGAATTTTTAATAATGGAAACATAAATAGTGACCTCAACTCCCAATTCTATCATGTAAAACAAAATAAAACAAAACAAAACAATCAAACAAGAAAAATCCCATAGTTAAAAACAACTGTACTTTTCATAATGTGACAGAAAAGGAAAAGATATTTTTAGAAAAGACAGCGATTTTCTTACACAAACCAAAACTAAAATAATATTACACCAATAAAAACATCTTTAGAAGAGACTATAGATTTTAGAAAACCAGACCTATCTATATCTTACCTGATGAAAACAAGCTTGACCTTGGATGGGGCAGTCTTAATAATGGCAGATGCATTTTGGTGACTTCTTCCATAGAGGATCTGATTATTTATCTGTTTGAGAGGAAAAAAAAATGTACTTGAACAAACACCATCTGTATATTTTATGTAAAATATGTTTATATACATTTACAAGTCTATATGTATGTATTTGGAACTAAGTAATAAAGTTTTCCTTTTTTTTTTTTTTTTTAATTTCCTTCAGTGCTGGGGATTAAACCCAGGGCCTTATGCATGCTTTGTAAGTGCTTTACCACTAAGCCACACTCCCATCGCAAGACTATTATTTTTCAAGGATTATATGTAGGTCTGAATAAGGCTAAAAATCTTTATTCTTTTTAGTACAAACACTAATTCTAAGCAGCCATAAGAATCTCATAAGTTCAATTTTGACTACAGTTAAAAAGAACATAAGTTCTTGATTGTTTCACTAAACAGTAGTTGAGCTCAATGCAAAAACTTTATGATACATATTTCATTTCCTACAGCTTTTCCAGATTCCTAAAAAATGCAGAAAACAGACTAAACTATAGTATTCACCAGAGCTCTGGAGGACCCATTAAACGTGATTCTGTAAATGTGTCAAGGTTATTACACAGCATAAATTTTGCTACCCCCGAGGAGATAAATATGTATTCCCGTTTTAAGTCAAATTGTAGATCAAATGCATACAAATATTTTACAGTAGACAATCAATGAGCCATTTGTTCATGTCTAAGATGAGGAATTTTTAAACTTGATTGCTGTCACCTACATATGATCTAAAAACATGAGATATAAAGTTTTCCATTCTAGATGTTCCCACTGATAGCCTGTGAGGATAGCTATAATCATTCTCTTATTTTATTTCATTGAATTAATAATTGCTCTTACATTTTGGCTTTATCTCTCTCTAATGAGCAATTAATAATAGTATACTATTATAGTAACCTTATTAACTGTGACCTTGATAATTTCTACTTTTTAAAACATAGTACAATATACTCTATAAGGGATAATAAAAAGGTATCAAAGACTTTAGTAATCAGAACCTACTTTGTCTGCCCATGATGTCTCTGAAATTTTGCATTTGAAAATACACCTGACAAACCTTTGAAGACACAAAAGTATCTTTTTTTGTCACAACAGTTAAAATGAGAGAGCAGATATAAGTGAGCGCTTCAAAAGCTGGAATGAAAGTATAATGTTTGTAACTGTCTTGAAAGAAGCTTGTCCATCAACTTGCCAAAAGAGGCTGAGCCAGGCTTCATACCCAGGGCTGTTGTGGTGACCAGCTTGAGTTACCTCTTCATTCTACCTGCTATCTATCAGGCCTCCTGCTTCACCAAGCTCTCGATCTCACAGGAATCTGTTTTTTCACAATGTCATTTCTCTGGGACTCAGTTTCCTCCCCTCTAAAAGGAATTTAAGTACCTACTTCACAGAACTGTTCTGAGAATTAGAAGGGGCAATGCTTTTGCATTTTATTTATAGTGCTCTTAATACCCAATAATTCTTTTTGTGTTCAAAACCATTCATCTGTTTTTAGTTATAATATCATGCATTTAGAAATGTGTCCACTCTCCAGATTATATATTCTCTACAAATATTTTCTGTTTTCATGGTGTAATTTTTATATAATTAGTTTGTGTGTGTGCATGTGTGTGGTGTGCAAACCAGGTCCCAAAATAGCATGTTATATGTAAAACCTAATTTTATATAAATTATATGTATATGCATTATACACACACACACACACATATATGCAGATAGATATCAATCTATATCTTTTTATAAGGGATGCTGGAGATTGAGCCCTGGGCCTTGCACATGCTAAGCATGTACTCTACCATTGTGCTACACACCCAATTTATATATATCTTCTTACCTAATTTAGTTATTTAACTAAGGGAAATGGCTGGAGAAATAATGTAGTCATTAAAAGTAATGTGAAAAAGCATACTTAACGACATAGGAAACGTCCAAAATGTATTAAGCAGCAAAACCAGGTTCCAGGATAGTATGTCTAGTCTGATCATGTTTTTTGCTAATCATATTTTCCAACGTCATTAACTTACAAAGAACTACAAACAAGAGTCGTTAAATCATATTTGTAAATGAGATGACATGTGGAACAAACCTGATTCAAAGCCTGCACTCAGATAACTGTTTGCGAATGTTTTCTCCCTTGTGCCTGGCCTCTGCATCCAGTGAGCCTTTTCTAAACCAAACCTATTTAAGCCTGCCTTTGAACTCCATGACACTAGGCTTAAGAAAATTTCTTATTGTGCTTGAATGCTGGCAGAGCATGGAAAAGCATCAGTGCAGGTACACAACATTTATTGAGTTGAGCTAAGCTCCTGAGGGCAGAAACTGGCATGTACCTCTTGGTATTTCCTAGATTGGCGTGCACAGCTTGTACACAGTGGTGCTCAGTGAGGATATGACGAACTGCAGAGCCTTGCGTGAAAGTGGCGCTTAATCAACTGCCAGTATGCTTCCTTTGACATGGGATCCAGCCTTCAAAACAATTGAAGTTTAAAAAAATTGGTTTTGATCAGCAAAAAGCTTGAGCATTTTATATATATATCTCGCACTGTTTCAGGTTCACAGCCATTCCTACTTTTTAGCCATGAACCTCCATTTTGACAGAATAGACTATATGGTACTATAATCTTAAGAGGGAAAAATAATATCCCAAGTGAAGAAAGCAGTTTGTTAATTTTAATTTACTTAAGAGTGAACGCACAGTTCTGCCTTTCATGATGCTGTTTGCAAATGCTCAGAGTCTCTGGCAGGAGGAAGGCCTTCACTGCTGCTGTTTCTTCCAGTGCCAGCTACTGTGAACGGGACTGCTCCCTGCCAGTGCTCAGAGGCTCTGGGAAGCTGCTGTGCAGTGGGAAACTGGGAACAGAGCAAGAAACTCAAGACAGAGAGAAATGTGCCCTTATGGATTAAATCTCTGGGTAAAGAACATCCAAGACAAAGCCTCATTCTGCCCTTAAAAATGACACATGAGCAACTCTGAGTTTTAGGAGAGGCAGCTTTCCTTTTTGTTTTTGTATTGAAATTAAAGGTAGATGGCTTCCAACTACATAAGCAGTTTTTATATTTCCTCCTTCCTAAATGAAGTACTCCAGAGAAAATTCAGTAAGCAATTAGAAAGAATGATTCATTTTGTGCACAATTAACTTTAGACTGCCTCTGATTACTAAGAAACTGCTGTTTTCTGAGGGCACTATTTAAACAACAGATGTCTGTGATCTTCTAAGCACAGCATAGGCAAAAAACAAAGTCTCTACACCTCCCCCATAGTCTTTCAGGTTAAAGATAATCAATGACTACCCCTTACTGAGGGCTTACTGGGGCACAACACTGCCAGACTCTTCAATGTGTAGTATCTCATTTTAAATCTCAGACCAGCCAGGGTATTATTTTTTTTAACTAAATTATGAAATTGAAACAGAAAAGCTGAACAATTTGCCAAGGTAATTTAGTGATGAGCTTAAAAGATTGTAATCCTAGGGCACACCAAAGTCACATGGCTGTAAGACACACTTCAAAAGACAAAAAAAAAAAAAAAATCAGATGATTTTTTGAGGCCATCTTCATAACATGCCTATAAACTTTGATCAGTAACAGAAGGTGCCAGGCAGCTCCCATTTTAGGCCCTGGGCTTCTGAGATGAAGAGGTCAACACCAGTAGAGGAAATGTCCAGTGGCTGACTGGGAGGCTTTCTAAAGGCCCAAATGTAGTATGGAGTCTTGCGGGCTGTGTTTTTCTCTTCTGACGAACAGACTACACCCTGAACAATTATTAAACCTCTTGATATTTTTTCCCACTACATGAATATATACAGATTGAGCATCCTTTTGGCTTTTTCTGATCCAAATCAAAGGAAAACAATTAAAATATTTCATTTGGGGGCAAATACTGCCCCTGTCCCTTCATAATCTGAGTGACCATTCAGATAACCTAGACAATGGGCAAACATCATTAAGTTCTACTTATTTCAAGTAAACACAGAAATAGAGAAGATAAGTGCCTTTCCCAAAGTATTCTCCTTTTAAAGGTGAGTCAATGATATAAGGGAAGAATAAAAGCATTGTTGAGACGTGTCCTTATCTTTAATATTATCCTCTAATCAAGTTGGAACTCTAACGAATTGGAATAGGATCCTTATAAGAGGAGACACAAGAATACAGCAAGGAGCCCGTTTGCAAACCAGGAAGGGGCTTTACCAGGAAACAAACTGACCAGCACCTTGTTCTTGGGCTTCTAGCTTCCAAAACAGTAAGAAATAAATATCTGTTGTTTAAGCTGTCCAGTGCCTGACATTTGTTACAGAAGCCCAAGTTGACTTATACAGTCATTTGAACTAATTTCTGTTCCTTGCAATTGAAAAGTCTCCACTGATACAGCTCTTGAGGCCCCTTCTAATTCTGAAAATTAATACATCTAAGTGACATAACTTATCTCTCAGATATTCAGAAATTATCCCTTAGCATCCTTAAGGAGAAAGAAGAAAGATAAAAAGGCTCCCTGTCCAAAGGGGCTTTCTGTGCTTTTCACCTAGATGCTGATTTTCTTTTCTGTTTTGGACTTTCTCTTCTGATTACTGTCAAAGAGGGTCTTCTGAGACTTCCAGATAGATAGTAACTTCTGTCTCAGCTCCATGATCTCTGGTCCCAGAAAGGTGATAACCTTTCATCTGATGGGTAAGTTAGTTCACTTTTTTCCAGGTTCTAAATTTTCAATTCAGTGAGTAAATTATAACAGCTTTGGGTAATGAGGTCCACAACCCCAAATGAGATACACCTGTATTTGCAAAACTTGTATAAAACAGGTCTTCATTGCATTTAATTTTTGCCCTTGTGGCTTGGTTTCTGCTATTGTAGAGGGAAAAAGAGCAAAGGCCTGTTATAAGGTAAGTCCCCGATATATCAAATATGGGAGACAACTGAAATATTTCAAAGTTTGTGTTGGAAGTAGAATGAGGGTTAATCCAGCAAAGATTCAGCAAAGTAAATGCTGAAAATTCTTTTCTAATACTACATAAATTTTCACTTTAAAG